GAGAGAGAGAGAGAGAGAGAGAGAGAGAGAGAGAGAGAGAGAGAGAGAAATAGATAGATAGATAGATAGATAAATAGATAGATAGATAGATAGAGAGATAGAGAGATAGATAGAGAGATAGAGAGATAGAGAGATAGATAGAGAGATAGAGAGATAGAGAGATAAAGATAGATAGAGAGAGAGAGAGAAAGAGAGAAGGAGAGACAAAAACACAGGTAAAAAGTAATTGAACAACAACATATATAAAAAGAAGGTAAGTGCTTTCTGCACTTTTGCATCGAACATTAAAAAAACTCAATGACGGAATCACCCGTCTCCGCGCACCACAGCACTACACGACATTCACAAACCGACTACCAAATTGCACACAGGGTGAGTGATCTGCCCTACGACCTACACGCCCTGCACGAACGACCAATAACGACCCGGAGCGTCGACGACAGCCTACCTAACAATGCCACTACGACGGGAGGCCACCTGCTTTCTCGCCTCCCACATCCCGGGAGGCCACGAATGCACACCACACGGGCCAGCAACTCTACCGCTCACGAATAGCCTTCACTATTTCCAACAACGCATGGCACATGAGTCTGCTGACTTCGTCGGACACGGCATAGTGTTTCTTCTGCACTTCTACTTCGGCTTCCAATGCCTCACACTGCCGCATCTGAACGGAACATTGACACTTGCTGGCACTCTCCATCGTCGACGCCATGAGCGCCCCGTGCTTCTCCATGCACTCCGTCATCGCCTCGAAGGTCTGCTGCCGCATGCTCTTCCTCTTCCCAAAACCACGTGGGCTACCCGTCATCGTGTCCACCGAACCTCGCGTCGACCCCTCATCGTCATCGTCTTGCCCCGCAACGCCGTCGCCATCACCAACCGATTCAGGATCCGCGGTCGGCGTAGACGGCAGACGCACACCGCCAGAAGCACCAGTGCCTGCCACGTTCTTCGGGTTGATGGTATGGTTCATCCCGGTGGACCCCTCAATCTTGTCGTACACAGCGCCCCCCGCCGTAGTGGCATCCCGGTGGACCCCTCAATCTTGTCGTACACGTCGTCTCCGGGTGGGTGACCAGGCGAAGGAAACGGACGAACCACATGCGGAGCCCTCTTCCGAAGACGACGAAGACGTTAACGACGGAAAAGTCGGGGAAGGGGAGGGCGGTTACGTCTCGCCGTTCAGGCAGAGCGACATGGTTGGGAAGGGCGGGAAGTCGAAGCCATCGAACCGCAAAGGTCGTCCATGGGTGAAGAAAGGAAAGGGAAAGGCGAGCGACGACGATGGTGATGACGACGCGGAGGAGAAGCGTAACTTCTGGTCCGTCGAACACATTATAGCCCTCATAAGGGCTAAACGCGACCAAGATGCGCACATGCAGGGGATGGGGCATGCCTACGCCCGGACGAAGCCGAGGGAATGGAAATGGCAAGACGTCGCTCAGAGGTTGAAGAATGTTGGTGTCCACAGGAAGGCAGAGAAATGCGGGAAGAATTGGGACAACTTGATGCAGCAGTTCAAGAAAGTCTATCACTTTCAATCCCCGTCCGGGGGACAGGACTTCTTCCAGTTGACTGGTAAGGAGAGGGCGAACAAGGGCTTCGATTTCAATATGGATCGCGCTGTGTACGACAAGATTGAGGGGTCCACCGGGATGAACCATACCATCAACCCGAAGAACGTGGCAGGCACTGGAAGCAGGCTCCACGCCCCGCCTGATGGTTTCCTCTCGACCCGCACGAAGCTCGCGTCGCTGTTCCGCCCACACCTCCCTCCCGTCGCGATCCTCACCAACGTCATACAAGTTTGTCCCGCCGTCGACGCTACCGCCACGGCGGCTTGCCACGGTGGACGCCGCAGACAGACGAGACGGCGACTGCATCCACTTGGGGCGATCCTGGGCGCCCGTGGACGGAGAGGGCGGTCGTGCCTGCTGCGCCGAGTTGGGATTCGCACCACTCGAATGACGGGCGCCTCTCGTCTTCAACGAGCGGTCGACAGCCGTGACCTGCCCACCGTCATCGTCGGGGTGGGGGTTGACGATGACTGTGCGCGATTGAGTTGCCATCCTCCCGGTGGACAGACCGAACGAAAGGTTGACGTCGCCATCTCCTTCGTAGCCGCTCAGTGAAGGACTGCTCATACACGCTGCCACCGGTCCCAAGGAGCTCCGTCGTCGCCCAATCCTGTGTCGATCCGCTACCCAACGAGATGGTGTGTGGCCTTCTCTCCCCCTCCTCCTCATCCGATGAGTCCGGAAGGGGTTGCAAGTGCGGTGGCAATACCGCATACCCAATCCGTTGCGACGCCCTCCAAACCGACGACGGGCTTTCACCGCCACGCCATCCGACAACTTGCTCCTCTCTGGCCCTGGGGATCATCTGTCGTGCCTCCGTCCTGGCGTACTTCATCGAAGACTGTCGTCTGTGTCGACGCCGTGGTGCGTTCCCGAGGAAACACACGTGGAAGATAACCACGACGAGCAGCAACAGGACAACGAGGAGCAGCAGTGGCGGCCTGCGAAAGATGTTAGCCATAAAACAGAAGACAACAACGACAGCAGATGGAAGACAACAGGGGCGACAACATAACACCGAAGTACAGTGCTGCAAACGGGCATTCCAACTTGCCGACAAACGGAAGGTTCGTCTTCGGGAAATGCAGTGACGCCTCAAATATTCGTATTTCCCGCCCGTTGGGCGATTTCCCGCTGCGTCTCAACCTCGAACGGCGCAGGACACCACCTTCTCGACGTCGGGGATGCCAGAAGGCCACAAACGATGACCGTTGGCGTCCGAATCGGCCCACTCGAACGTTGGCAACCCAACATGTCGGTGGAGACGACGGTAGGACCACCGATGGACAAGACGGCGTCGAGAAATGTCGTCGAGGGAGCTGCCGTCGACGCGCCAATTATTCCGGATGTTGGAGCTCCGAGGATCCTCGGGGAGGTCCCTCGGGGAAATCACCAAAATGGCTGTAGCCCAAGGAATCCCCGAGGAATCCCCAAGGAAATGTTTTCACATTTTGTTTTCCAAATCTTCCCCGACGACGCGTGGAACGACGATTTCCTCGGGGAATTTCGGCCCCCGAGGAGTGTCGAACGAACCCCTTTTTCTTTTTCTTTTTGCCATAACCTTTCAGGCTGAAGTTCTGAGTGAGAATATATCCTATACCGCATCTTCGGGGACCGGGGGCGAAGTCCCACTAGCATTGCTCCTGTTCCAGCAATGGGGACCTCCCTGTTGTGTGACACTCCTTGCCACCGCCGATTTCCATGGATCGTAGGGCAAGGCCATTCTCTTCATTTTCACGATGGCTTATTGAGGCAGGCGTGAACTCAGTGCTTCCCCATTTGCTGCGCATTTTCACCTTCTTTTGTCTAAGGTGGTCTGTGAATCCTCCTCTCTGGGGCGGTGCACAACATGCTAGAGAGAGAGACCGCCAGTCCCTTTTCAGATATATGCTGTGATAAACCAAACACATAAAGGGAGAGGGCGAAAAAAAAGGAAGCAAATGTTAGGATAAGGGTCTCGTTAGACACTCCTAAAAGTGCCTGTTTTTAGGATTGCGTCTTGGTTGCACGCAATCCTAAATCCAATTTTGAGATAAAAAATGTGAAAACGGCGTTAGGACGTCCTAAAGGATTTAGGATTCCCCAAGCAAAATCGTCCTAAATTTTCCAATAACCCCCGACCTACTGAAAAATTTAGGATTCCCGCGTTTCACGGACTCGTTGCGTCGCGCGCATGGCACAATCAACACGGAGTTGTTGGTGCAGAAGCGGTCCGTCGGGTCAGTGGTCGGACATCAGAGGTTTTCTATGGGTCGATGCGAGCAACGACCACGAACGGTAGTCGTTGGCGGGGGTGGAGCACAGGGGGCCGAGCAGGGGCGGGCGGGCGTCCTTGGTGGCCCGTTGGCTGGGTTGCGGGAAGCGGAGGAGGAGGACGACGTGCGCAGGACGACATACCGAGGCGCCAATGATCGATTTTTGAATCGAAGGTGTCCACGTTTGTCGTCTTCTCTGGTGGTTGTCGACATATGAAGGTCCAGCGGTGTCCGGACCGGTGGGTCCCGAGATAGTCTTGCCCGTCGAGAGGCGGTATATCGCCGAATTGTGCACGACAGAGAAAACCAGAGGCAAGAAGGATAAAGAATGCTAAGTATTGGCGTTGGGGGTGCCCAGGTCGCCGGAGCCACGGGACCAAGGAAGGATTAGCAGAAAGGCGAGCGACAAGAGATCGCAAGAAAATAGTAAAGGCGGCCGTCCCCCCGAAAAGGAGAAGGACCGCTGGGAAAATATTGTCATGAGTCGCGCGCCGCAAGGAGAAAAGATAGTAAGTGAGGTGTCGGCGTGTGAAGTCGTAACCCGGGCCAAGAGGGTACTGGGGCACAATGTCAAGAAGGCCAAGGGGCCACGGGCCAAGTAAGAACCCGCGTCTGGGGAGAACGACGCACGGGACATGCGAAGGACAAAGGGAAGGAGGCCACCATAAGGCGGAAAAATGATAAGGTACCGGGGACCACCAGCGGGACAAAGTGTCAGGGACCACCGGCGGGACAAAATATCGGGGACCACCGGCGGGACAAAGTGTCGGGGACCGCCGGTGGGACAAAGTGTCGGGGACCACCGACGGGACAAGTACCGACGGGACCACCGGCGGGACGAGTACCGGCGGGGCCACCGACGAGACGAGTACCGGCGGGACCACTAGCGGGACTAGTGCTGGGGGCCAACGTGGGAAAGTGACGGGGACTTCTGAAGTCCCAAGGAAAAATTGTGGTATGCCGTGAGGCGCAAATGATTAAAGAAAGAGGCATCGTCAAGATCAAGGATCTTGACGGCCAACAATATTAGCACCACTAGCATGAGCGCTAGTGGGAGCAAGCGGGAGGGCCAAAAGATAAAGAAAAGTAAAAGAACATGGATGTAGAGGCATGGGAGCAATCCGAAAAATCCCGGATTAGCCTCCCCCCAAAAAATGGGGCCAAAAGAGCCAACATGAGAAAAATAGGCCTCCCGGAGAAAATCGAAGAATGGGGGCCTACCGTTTGGAAGAGGGAGAGGCAAACGAAGGCTCCCATGGGCATGGAAAGACCACAAGTGCAGTCCGAGAAATAACGGACTGACCCTTGGGCATGAGAAGGGCCAAAACAAAGAGGAGGAGCCTAGAAAATGGTCTTAACAGCTAGTTGACACTTGGCATGCAAAAAAAAGAAAAGGAAAAAGAATAAGAAAAGAAAATGGGAGGTGAGAGAGGATGAATGAGTTGGCCGTCAGTAGGGACTGCAGCAAGTAGAGACTGGCATGTCCCTACTGTCCACAAGTGGAGGAAAAGGAAAGAAAAAAAAAAAAAAAAAAAAAAAAAAAAAAAAAAAAGTCAAAAGGGCACTAACAGCCAAAACCGGTCACCTAGAGGGTGCTTTTTTGACCAGATTCATTCTGACATATGTTGGTTACAAAGTATCTTGGGTTTTTCTTGATTTTGTAGAGAAAATCAGAAAAAATCAAGGCCCCGTGCAACCGAAAAATATCGGATTACATGGGAGAGGCCAAACACATGTTTTAGGTGCACCGGAAGCCAAAATGAGGACTGAATACACTTGGGAGTTGACCGTTTCTTTTTCATTCAACTTGGGGCTAGTTGTGGGGCATTGGGGTTAAGGAATTGGCCCCTATTGCAGTCCGAGCTGTAACGGACTGCATGGGGGAGGTCAAACACTTGTTTTTTGTGCATCCGGAGCCAATATGTGCCGGACCCGCCGGGATGGCGGTCCGTTAGGATGGAGACGAAGGAGGAGGTAGAGATGGAGCTGGAAGGGACGGCGCAGCTCCGACGCAGACTCCACGCGCAAGTACTCCAAGATCTGCGAAAGTGAAGAATACCGAAAAAAACAGACTGCAGCTGGGGTATACCCCCAGCGGACTGACTGGACTGGACTGGACTGGCCTGGTACCAACCGTGGTACCGGGCGGGACTGGACTGGACTGAAACAATATAYGGCCTGTGGGGTCAGGCCACGGCCTGGTCCCACAGGCCGAACTGGCAAATAGCCAAATAGGCCCTGGCTGTAGGCCAGGGCAGATGAAGGCCCGCTGCAC